ATTCAGTATTCATGCCAAGTATTGAGTATTCATTGTTCAAGTCGACAATGGTCTCTGGATGTAGGTGAACTACAACTCCCAAATGACAAAATGACTCCCCCTTCCCCGATCCCATCAGTATTCAGATTTGGGCATATTGGGTATTTGTGTCAGATTTGGTCCAGTGAATGAAAATACACCCTACATATCAGGCATTTAAATGACAGGAGCAAAATGACGGCTATGAAGTAGCAACGAAAATAATGTTATGTTTGGGGGTCACCACAACATGCGGAACTGTATTAAAGAGTCGCGGCATTAGGAAGGTTGAGAACCACTGGCCTAAGTGGAGTCTCTTGCATTTGTCCCTGTTGAACTTCATTGTGTTCATTTTGGCCAATCATCTTTCTAATCTGTTAAGATTGTTTTTGAATTCTGCTCCTGTCTTCTGGAGTACTGGCTATCTCTCAACCTACAACTGCTTGCCATTTCACAGGTACCAAAAAACAAAATTCACTGATTTTTGTTTTGCATGGGGTCTTTTTGTGGCAACCCCATGCATTTAATAGGATTAGGCAGATAAGACTCAGAGGGGGTTTTACCAGTCCTTTCCTTTGTGATAGAGTCAAAGCAATGTACAATGGCAATAAAATTATTCAATTCTATTCCACTCTAAACTACTTAGGATTCCTTGGCGGTCTCCCATCCAAGTCCTAACCAGGGCCGACCCTGCTTAGCATCCAAACTCAGACAGGACTTTCTTCCTTTAGCGTCCTTGTTTACTTCCTTATCCCAAATATATATACATACATGCACACACACAATGACAATAAAGTTATTCTATTCTACTCTAAACTACTTGGGATTCCTTGGCAATCTCCCATCCAAGTCCTAACCAGGGCCAACCCTGCTTAGCATTCAAACTGAGACAGGACTTCCTTCCTTTAGCATCCTTGTTTACTTCCTTATCCCAAATATGCATATGTATGTATATATATATATATATATATATATATATATATATATATATATATACACACATACATACAATGACAATAAAGTTATTCTATTCTTTTCTACTCTAAACTACTTGGAATTCCTTGGTGGTTTCCCATCCAAGTCCTAACCAGGGCCGACCCTGCTTAGCATCCAAACTCAGGCAGGACTTTCTTCCTTTAGCGTCCTTGTTTACTTCTTTATCCCAAATATGCATGCATATATATATATATATATATACACACACACACACACACACACAATGACAATAAAGTTATTCTATTCTTTTCTACTCTAAACTACTTGGGATTCCTTGGTGGTCTCCCATCCAAGCCCTAATCAGGGCCGACCCTGCTTAGCATCCAAACTCAGACAGGACTTTCTTCCTTTAGCTTCCCTGTTTACTTCCTTACCCCAAATATATAGATATATATATACACACACACACACACACACACACACACAATGACAATAAAGTTATTCTATTCTATTCCACTCTAAACTACTTGGGATTCCTTGGCAGTCTCCCATCCAAGTCCTAACCAGGACCGACGTTAATTAGCATCCAAACTCAGACAGGACTTTCTTCCTTTAGCGTCCTTGTTTACTTCCTTATCCCAAATATGCATATATAATAACAATAAAGTTATTCTATTCTTTTCTACTCTAAACTACTTGGGATTCCTTGGTGGTCTCCCATCCAAGTCCTAACCAGGGCCGACCTTGCTTAGCATCCAAACTGAGACAGGACTTTCTTCCTTTAGCGTCCTTGTTTCCTTCCTTATCCCAAATATGCATATATCACAATGACAATAATGTTATTCTATTCTTTTCTACTCTAAACTACTTGGGATTCCTTGGTGGTCTCCCATCCAAGACCTAATCAGGCCTGATCCTGCTTAGCATCCAAACTTAGACAGGACTATCTTCCTTTAGCGTTTACTTCCTTATCCCAAATATACATATATGTGTGTGTGTGTGTGTGTGTATATATATATATATATATACACACACACAATGACAATAAAGTTATTAAATTCTTTTCTAATCTAAACTACTTGGGATTCCTTGGCGGTCTCCCATCCAAGTCCTAACCAGGGCCAACTCTGCTTAGCATCCAAGTTCAGACAGGACCTTCTTCCTTTAGCGTCCTTGTTTACTTCCTTATCCCAAATATACATACATACATATATATATGTTAGTGGCTCAGGGTAATTAAGGCCAATCAAATTTTATTTTATTTTATTTAGCCAAGGTAATCCAAATCCCGCAATTAAAAAACGCCACATTCCGCTGGCTGAATAAATTATGCAAACTAAGGACATTGGCTCGAGGCTGTTTGTGGATGGGGAAGAACAATAATTTATTCTGCTGCTTGGCCAGCTGGCGAGATTGAGAGAAGAAATGAGGATTTTGTGGCATGCCACCTAATTATGGAGAAAGAAAGAAAGAAAGAAAGAAAGAAAGAAAGAAAGAAAGAAAGAAAGAAAGAAAGAAAGAAACCCTGCTTCAGAGTTGTTCTTGCATGCACTTGCTCATTTGGAAGCTGGTCTTAAAGGTTCGCTAAATGCAGGAGATTGTTTTTAAAGGTGTACTCACAGAATCTTAAGAGTTGGAAGAGACCCCAAGGGCCATCCAGTCCATCCCTATTGTGCCAGACAGGAAGATTAATTGGCATGCACACCATTTGGAATAATCACAACCTTTTTGTAAAGTATGATCTTCCTGAGAAGAGCTAAAAAAACCTCTTATCTTTGGTGGAAAATATCCATCAATATTTATGCAAAGCTAATTAGGTTCCTCAGTTGTTAGACTGATATACCTAGTTATCTCTCTGAACTGTTAAGAACAAAGATGATGCCAATGCACAAAATAAATAGCAGATCTTCAGAAGTGTTATTTCAATTGCCCAAAAACATCTACTCTCACATAAAATATATTTGATATTACATCATATTCTCAAGAAGGAGACCCCAGTGGCGCAGTGGGTTAAACCACTGAGCTTCTGAACTTGCTGACCAAAAGGTTGCAGGTTTGAATTGGGGAAGCGGCGTGAGCTCCCACTGTTAACCCCAGCTTCTGCCAACCTTGTTGTTGTTCATTCGTTCAGTCGTCTCCGACTCTTCGTGACCTCATGGACCAGCCCACGCCAGAGCTCCCTGTCGGCCGTCACCACCCCCAGCTCCTTCGAGGTCAGTCCAGTCACTTCAAGGATGCCATCCATCCATCTTGCCCTTGGTCGGCCCCTCTTCCTTTTGCCTTCCACTTTCCCCAGCATAATTGTCTTCTCTAGGCCTTGCTGTCTCCTCATGATGTGGCCAAAGTACTTCAACTTTGTCTCTAATATCCTTCCCTCCAATGAGCAGTTGGGCTTTATTTCCTGGAGGATGGACTGGTTGGATCTTCTCGCAGTCCAAGGCACTCTCAGAACTTTCCTCCAACACCAGAGTTCAAAAGCAACGATCTTCCTTCGCTCAGCCTTCCCTAAGGTCCAGCTCTCACATCTGTAGGTGACTACAGGGAAGACCATGGCTTTAACTATGCGAATGTTTGTTGCCAGTCTGATGTCTCTACTCTTCACTATTTTATTGAGATTGGTCATTGCTCTCCTCCCAAGAAGTAAGCATCTTCTGATTTCCTGGCTGCAGTCTGCATCTGCAGTAATCTTTGCACCTAGAAATACAAAGTCTGTCACGGCCTCCACGGTTTCTCCCTCTATTTCCAGTTGTCAATCATTCTTGTTGCCATAATCTTGGTTTTTTTGATGTTTAGCTGCAACCCGGCTTTTGCGCTTTCTTCTTTCACCTTGATTAGAAGGCTCCTCAGCTCCTCCTCGCTTTCGGCCATCAGAGTGGTGTCATCTGCATATCTGAGGTTGTTAATGTTTCTTCCAGCAATTTTCACCCCAGCCTTGCATTCATCAAGCCCCGCACATCGCATGATGTGTTCTGCATACAAGTTAAAAAGGTTGGGTGAGAAGATACAACCCTATCGCACACCTTTCCCAATCTTGAATCAGTCTGTTGTTCCGTGGTCAGTTCTGACTGTTGCTACTTGGTCCTTGTACAGATTCCTCAGGAGAGAGACAAGGTGGCTTGGTTTGCCCATCCCACCAAGAACTTGCCAACCTAGCAGTTCAAAAACATGCAAATGTGAGTAGATCAATAGGTACCGCTCCGGCGGGAAGGTAACAGCGCTCCATGCAGTCATGCCGGCCACATGACCTTGAGGTGTCTATGGACAACGCCGGCTCTTCAGCTTAGACATGGAGATGAGCACCACACCCCAAAGTCAGACATGACTGGACTTAATGTCAGGGGACAACCTTTACCTTTACCTATGAACCACCTGGAGCTGGACTCCCTCCTTGTCCAAGGAAAGAAACCAAAAGCGCTGCACTTCCTATGCGCGCCCAGAAGGGGGCAGCACAAACTCCAAGTTGGGCTTCCATCTCCATTGATTGATCTCCCCCACCTTTCCCTAAAAAAGAAAAAAAAATCCAATCTGCCTTCCTATTCATTTATTTTATCTCTCCCTCTCTCTCTTTCTTTCAATCCCTTTCTCCCCTTAACCGCCTATTACCCCAAATCCCTTTCTCTTTCCAATCCTGATGGAGGCTTTTATCTCTTTTCTGCATCTCTTTGAGTGGATTATTAAAAGGGGGGGGGGTAGATATATATATATAAAAGGGGAGGAAAAGGCTGCAGATGTCACTCCATTCCCTTCTATGAACCTAACAGATGCAGGAGTCTTGAGTGACTCTCCCCCCCCTCCCCCTGCCCCATTATTACCTCTCCAGCTGCAAAATTGAACCCACCCACCCCCCTTTTACAAAAAAATTAATCCTTTTTTCATGATTGGAGGAGGTGGAGGGAGGGAGGGAGGGGGGAGGAGGAGGGAGGGAGGGAGGGAGCTGCTGCTGGACCACAGCTTGGGCATCCTCCTCCTCCTCCTCCCTCTGCATCCTTGCCTGCATCCCTCCTCCCTAGTGAGTGAGTGAGTGAGTGAGTGAGCAGCATCCTTGCAGTGGTCCTCCTCTCTCTTTCTCCCTCTCTCTCTCTCTTTCCTTCTCCTTCTAGTGGGCGGGGCCTGCTATGCAAATGAGGCCCAGAAGTGGGGCGGACGCTGCCCGGGACACCAGCTCCTGCTTGAGCCCCTTTTGCTAAAAAAAGCCCCCCACCCAAGAAAGGCAAGGCTGGGTCCTTGCTTCCCTTTCTTTCTCTCTTTGCAGAGATTCCCTTTCTCTCTCTCTCTCCCTCTCTCTCTCTCTCTTGGAAGGACTCAGGGCTTTCAGGGTCGGGGGTCTGCTTCTCTTCCCTCCCCACTCTTGTCCCTACAAGGAGAGGACCCCCCTTCACCCCACCCCACCCCGACCCCTGAAAGATGCAAGTTTCCATCGCTTGCACGGAGCAGAACCTGCGGAGCCGCAGCAGCGATGACCGGCTTTGCGGCGGAGGAGGCGGCGGGGGCGGCGGGGGAGGGGGCTCCCGGGCCCAGGGGGGAGGGCAAGGCAACGGCGGGTACCAGCCCCCCGGGGGGAAGGGGCCCCGCTTGGCCCTGGGCAGCCGGGCGCCCAACCAGCACCTGCCCCACATCGCCTTCCTCCTCCGAGAGTCCACCGGAAGGGCCACCGGCATGAACTACAGGTAACCCATCCCAGAGTGGGGAGGGGGCTTTGGGGGGGTCTTGGGAGGCGGAAGAATTGAACAGTGGGGTTGTGTCACCTTTGTGAGGGCTCCTTCATTGTATTGGGGGGTCTTTGGAGGCTCCACTTTGAATGGCCCGACAATTAGAGGGGTCAGAAGATGGAGTTGTGTTGGGAAGGTTTTGGGGGTCTCAAGGATAATGTTGGGGTCTCTTTTTTGGGGGGTCTTGGGGGGGAGGAAATTGGCCGGTGGGGGTGTCATCTTTGTGAGGGGTCCTTAGTTGTATTGAGGGGGTCTTTAGGGGGCTCAACCTTTAATGGTCCGACATTAGAAGGGTCAGAAGATGGAGTTGTGTTGGGAGGGTTTTTGGGGGTCTCAAGGATCATGTTGGGGTCGCTCTTTTGGGGGGTCTTGGAGGGAGGGAATTGCCCAGTGGGGGTGTCACCTTTGTGAGGGGTCCTTCGTTGTATTGGGGGGTCTTTAGGGGGCTCAACCTTTAATGGCCCGACATTAGAAGGGTCACAAGTTGTTTTGTGTTGGGAGGGTTTTGGGGGTCTCCAGGATAATGTTGGGGTCCCTCTTTTTGGGGGAGTCTCTTTTGGTAGAAGGAATTGGCCTGGGTGTGACCTTTGTGGGGGGATCATTCCTTGTAATGGGGGGAGGGGTCTTTAGGGGGCTCCGACATTAGAATAGTCAGAAGATGGAGTTGTGTTTGGAGGGTTTTTGGGGTCTCAAGAATAATGTTTGGGTTGCTCTTTTGGGGGGTCTTGGGAGGGGTTGGTCAGTGGGGGGTATCACCTTTGTGAGGGGTCCTTCGTTGTATTGAGGGGGTCTCTTGGGGCTCAACCTTTAATGGCAAAACTGTAGAAGGGCCAGAAGATGGGAGGGTTTGGGAGGTCTCAAGGATCATCTTAGGATCACTCTTTTGGGGGTCTTGGGAAGGGAGGGGGTTAGCTAGCAGGGGTCATTCATTGTATTGGGGGTCTTTGGGGGCTCCACCTTGAATGACCCGACAATTAGAAGGGTCAGAAGATGGAGTTGTGTTAGGAGGATTTTGGGGGTCTCAAGAATAATGTTGGGGTCCCTCTTTTGGGGGGGTCTCTTTTGGGAGAAGGAATTGGCCTGGGTGTGACCTTTGTGGGAGATCATTCATTGTAATGGAAAGAGGGTCTTTAGGGGGCTCAACCTTTAATGGCCCGAGTTTAGAGGGTCAGAAGATGGAATTGTGTTGGGAGGGTTTTGGGGGGGGGGGGGGGGGGAAGTGTTGGGAGGGTTTTGGGGGTCCCAGGAATGATGCTGGGGATGCTTTTTTGGGGGGGACATAGAAGGGGAGGAATTGGCCAGTGGGGATGTCCCCTTTGTGAAGGTTCATTAATTTTATTAATGATCTTCGACAAAGGGTCAGAAGATGGAGTTGCGATGGGAGGGTTTTGGGGTCCCTCTTTTGGGGGGGGTTGCTTTTGGGGGGAGGGAATTGGCCTGTGGGCATGCCACCTTTGTGATCATTCATTGTAATGGGGAGTCTTTGGTAGGCTCAACCTTTAATGTAGAAGGGTCAGAAGATGGAGTTGTGTTGGGAGGGTTTTGAGGGTCTCAGGAATCATGTTGAGGTCGCTCTTTTGGGGAGTCTTGGGAGAGAGGAATTGGCTAGTGGGGGTGTGGCCTTTGTGGGGGATCATTCATTGCTTTGGGGGTCTCTTTTGGGAGGGGAGAATTGGCCAGTGGGGATGTCACCTTTGTGGGAAGGGGTCTTTCAACCTTTAATGGTCCAACTTTAGAAGAGTCAGAAGATAGAGTTGCATTGGGAGGGTTTTGGGGGTCCCAGCAATGATGTTAAGGTCACTCTTTGGGGGGGACTTAGAAAGGGGGGATTGACCTGTGGGGGTGTGACCTTTGTGGAGGATCATTAATTGTATTAATGATCCTCCACAAAGAGTCAGAAGATGGAGTTGTGTTGGGAGGGTTTTGGGGGTGCCAGGAATCATATTGTGAGGTCTTGGGAGGGGAGAACTGACCAGTGGAGGTGTGACCTTCATGGAGGGATTATTTGTTGTAATGGAGAGGGTCTTTAGGGGGCTCAACCTTTAGTGGCATGACTTTAGAAGGATCAGAAGATGGAATTGTACTGGGGAGGGTTTGGGGGTCTTAGGAATCATGATGGGTGCTCAAGAAACAAAGATTTCTGTGGTCAAGAGGTAGAGTTGTATTGTGGGGCTTTTGGAGGGTGGGGAGGTGAAGTTGGGGGACTATTTGGGGGTTGGATTTGAGGGGTTTTGTAGGCAGACAGAAGTTGAGTTAGGGGACGTTCATGGGACTCAGGGATTGTTGTTGTTGTTATGTTTATTTATACCCTGCTTGATCTCTCCTGAAAGAGACTCAAAGCGGCTTAACATAAAATCATTAGCATACAGTTTGAAAAAAAAATGCAAATATGCAAACATTAAAACAAGCTTGAACATAAGCAGTTCAAAACCATTCAAAGTTAAAACCACAGCACCCCCTAAACTGATCTTCAAACCCTTCTTCTGTGTAGGATGGTCCTCCCACCTTTGGTTCAGATGCAAGATCCATCTATACCTGGGACTTTTGGGAGGCTCAAGAGATGGAATTGGGTGGGATTTTTGGAATCAGAAGCTGTGTTTTGAATGGACCAGGAGGTGGAGTTGTTTTGGAGGACATCCGGGAGGTCAAAAGGTGGGTCAAGAGGGAGAGTAGTGTTGGGGAGATGTTTGCAGGATCTGGAGGTGGAGCTAAGGGGCTTTCTGGAGGCTCAAAAGGTAGAGGTGTGTTGGAAGACTTTTGGGAGGTTCAGGAGTTTGAGTTGTGTAGGATAGTCCTCCCACTTTTGCTTCAGATGCAGGGTTGATCTCTACCTGGGACTTTTGGGAGGCTCAAGAGATGGAATTGCAATTAGAAGCTGTGTTTTGGGGGGCCAGGAGGTGGAGTTGTTTTGGAGGACATTTGGGTGGTCAAAAGGTGGGTCAAGAGAGAGTAGTGTTGGGGGGACTTCTGTGGAATCTGGAGGTGGAGCTAAGGGACTTTCTGGGGCCTCAAAAGGTGGAGTTATGTTGGAAGACTTTTGGGGGGCTCAGGAGTTGGAGTTGGGGAAATCTAAAGGCAGTCAGAAGTTGTGTTGAGGGGCTTTTGGTGGAGCTCAGGTGTTGTATAGGGTGGTCCTCCCACCTTAGCTTAGATGTGGGCTTTGTTTCAGCCCCATCCACCCCAAAGTACTACTGAGGGACCAAAGTTGTGTTGGAGCAGGTATGGGCAAACTTCAGACCTCCAGGTGTTTTGGACTCCCATGCTGAAACTTTCCCATGCCTGTGTTGGAGTGTCCACCTACCTTGACTGAGTCAATGGTTGAGGACACATCCCAATGCAATCACTTTGTGTCTGACGGGTGTCAGCCCTTTTCCAGAATTGATGGAGTTGGAGTCCAAAACACCTGGAAGACTGAAGCTTTCCCATGCCTGTGTTGGAGTGTCCACCTACCTTGACTGAGTCAATGGTTGAAGACACGTCCCAATGCAATCACTTTGTGTTTGAGGGGTGTCAGCCCTTTTCCAGAATTGTGGGTGTTGGAGTCCAAAACATTTGGAGAGCTGAAGTTTGCCCATGCCTGTGTTGGAGTGTCCACCCACCTTGACTCAGATATGGGATTCATTTAGGGGGTGAACTCCATATCTGAGTAAATTGTTGAGGACACTCCAATGCAATCACTTTGTGTTTGAGGGACATCAGCCGTTTTCCACAGTATGTCCCCCTTCCTAAAGACTCCATAACCTAGTAATAGGACCATTTGGGGGACAGGATAGAGCAGGCATGGGCAAACTTGGGCCCTCCAGGTGTTTGGACTTCAACTCCCACAATTCCTAACTGTTAGGAATTGTGGGAGTTGAAGTTCAAAACACTTTGAGGGCTGAAGTTTGCCCATGCCTGGGAAAGAGCAAAATTGGAAGGCTATTTAAGGAAGGGGACCTCCCATTCTGGGGGAAACTGGTGAGGAAGCTGAAGAGACATGTGCCAGTATGGGGAAGGGGAGTCAGGTGCGTTGTAGATGATCACATTGGAAGGATTGCTTTTTCAACTGGCATATTGGGGTCTAGAATGGCTGGGAAAGGCAGGGGATGTGTGGGGTTCCTTTATTGGGTCCAGGGAATAATGGGGAGCAGCATTTTCCATGGATTTGGCAGGGGAAGATTGGAGGAAAGAGGGATCTATGAGGAACACGTCCCACTTGACGTTTTCGGAGGGGAACTATGAAGGAAAGCATTCCCTGGACCCTAAGATTTAATTCTAGCCTCACATTAGGAATTATTGCAAAGTCTGCTACACTTGTAAGCAATTTGCGGGGTGCAAAGGAGTTAATGAAACTTCCCTTTCTCTCCCCCCCCCCCCCCCCCAGTCAAAACATATCTCCGCATTCCCTTCCTTTCCCCTTTATTCTTTGCTTTTGGGGTGGTTTAAATCCTTCTCCCACTTCTCTTCGCTGGCATTTTAATTAAAATGAGATGCTTTCTTTGCTCTGCCCCAAGGTTAATCCATTTGCTCACCAGGGAATGGAGAAAGCAGGAGGAGGGGGGGTGGACTGTGGGTCCGAGTGGCACTGTGTTGGTGTGCGTATATTTATAGATACATGTAAACGACAGCGGCGGAAGGGCACTTGGAAAATCCTGGGTTCCTGCAATGGGGGGATCAAGAAAGATGGAAAGGAGCAAGGCATTTGAGGGGTTGGAGAGACCCCCAAATTCATTGCAGCCAACAAGAGAAGCCCAAGTTTGTTCCAGAGTGAATTGGCCAAGCTTGGATGGACTATTGGGCATCTCTGCCCTTCATTTGTGCCACCAAAGAAGAAACAGACGTACCTGAAAGCCAGGTGTTACACCTTAATCCAAGTTGGCCCATGCCTGCCTTGATCCATTTTTGGCCCAATATATGGCAAGCTTGTCATCTGCTGCTCCAGAGACAAGGACACAATGGAGCCAGGGGTTCAAATGGCA